CCTGGTTATCTCCGAGACCGCCTTCTGCCACAGATTGCCTCTCATCGGCCGGTACGCTCCCACAGAGAGGGTCTCCTCAGGGTGCCGTCAGCCAGACAGTGCCGGCTGGCGACCCCCAGGGGGAGGGCCTTCTCTGTTGGAGCCCCCTCCCTATGGAACGAACTACCCCCAGAGATCCGGGTTATTCCGGATCTCCCCTACATCCGCCGCGCCCTCAAGACATGGCTATTCCAGCTAGCGGGGCTGGCCTGAGAGGTATTTTAGATTGGATTTTAATTTGATTTTATATTGGGTGTTCACAAAATTTTAAATGAAACGGCAAAATTAATATTTCTTTTAATTGTATTTTAAAATGGTGTTTGTAGGGTTTTTATCTGTTTTTAGCTTGCTGTAAGCCGCCCTGGGTCCGCCAGGAGAAGGGCGGGGTATAAATCTAATAAAATCAAAATCAAATCAAAATCAAACAAAAAAAACTTTGAAAGTATATTTATAATCTACAAATAGAAAAAAATAGATGTAATTTACCACCAGAGATTAATCACAGGATTTAATTTCTATAAGTGAAACCTATCAATGCTGTTGATACAGTTCTACAGAGGAATTATTGAGTCTGCCATCTGTATTTCAATAACTGTCTGATTTGGTATAACAACTAAACATGGCAGGTGCAAACTATAATGAACAGTTAGAATTGCAGAAAAAACAACTGCAATCAGCCTGCCTTCTGTAGAAGACCTGTATGACCAGGAGGGCTTAGAAAATATCTACAGACTCCTCACATCCTGGACATAAACTGTTTCAACTCCTCCCCTCAGGATGCCACAATAGATAGATAGATGGAACCGGTCCCCGGTGCCCAAAAATTTGGGGACCTCTGGGTAGACATATTGCAGATCCCAAGTTTAGGAGATGATAGATAGATAGATAGATAGATAGATAGATAGATAGATAGATAGATAGATAGATAGATAGATAACCTTTATTGTCATTTTTTACTGTGGGCACAATGGCACACATTAAAAATGAAATTTAGTTGCTTGCTCTCAAAGTGTACACATACATAACACATATTTAAACATACTATATACAACATATGTATAGACCTATGCCCTTATACATAAGTAATGTATAAATATGTTATAATAAATAAATATAAATATAGGGCATGCCAAAATAACTAGATACAGGGACAGTTTTTCCCTTGTGCCATCACTCTGAACACCTAATCCTCTCAGTATTGTTTTATGTCCAAGTATATTTTACCCATGTTGTATGGCTGAAACATTATTATTATCCTTTTCATCTTTTCTACTACCCCCTCTTACTGGTATCTATTATGATTATTATTACTTTGTTACTTTGCATGTACATTGAGAGCTAATCACACTTGGCCAAATAATTCTATTCTACTCTACTCTACTCTACTCTACTCTACTCTACTCTACTCTACTCTACTCTACTCTACTCTACTCATTTGACTGACCAGACAATTAAAGATTATACCTCATTAGTAGTGTAAGGTTTTCCACTTAGCCTCACAATTGCCCCAGCGTTACTCAGGAATTTAAAAGAGCCAAAGAAACTCCTGAGCCGAGGTTTCAACAAAGATTACAATTTTATTTTGATCAAAACAGAGAGGGGCTGCCTGATTCCTCTTCGTGGCTGGTAGAGGAATGAAGGCAACAACCAGAAAAGATGTCTTCCACCTTTTATATCTTTCCAGAACAAAAAGATCAGGTCTTGGTACCAGGCATAAGATGGCACAAAAAAATAATTCTTAGATGATGACTCATACACAGCAACCCAGGCTCCATCCATAACTCCTTTTTCCCGTCCCCATACTGTGCTCTTTTCATATAAGCAATCACCTGTACCTAAAGCAGTGGTTCTCAACCTTTTTAATGCCGCGACCCCGACCGGTCGTAAGTCGAGGACTAAACTGGTCGTAAGTCGAGGACCAAACCGGTCGTAAGTCAAGGACTAAACCAGTCATAAGTCGAGGACTACCCACCCGGTCGTAAGTCGAGGACTTTCCCTGCCCAGGAGCGCCGCACATGCGTGGTTCCGCCCCCTGCGCCGGCTGAGGCACAGCTGGCAAGCGGCAGAGACGGAGCAGGCCGACCACCAGCTGGCCCAGCCCAAGGGAGGTAAGGCACCCGCCGCAAAAGGGGAAAAAAATGGCAGACAAAAAAATGGCGGACAAAAAAATGGCGGACAGCCTTGCTTGGCGACCCCCGTGAAATGGTCGATCGACCCCAAATGGGGTCCCGACCCACAGGTTGAGAACCACTGACCTAAAGCATGAAGCCCTTACTTTTCCAATATATATATAAAGCATCTGATCAAGCAATTAACTACAAAATAATGATTACAAAATAACAAAACAATGATTACATGATAACACTATAAGTATCAATATAAAATGGTTACTATATATAAAATAAATGCTAATGTCAAACTTAAACATACTAAAAATCATAAGCACAATAAAATCCCTTCAGTAATAACTTATCAGAAACTAAGTATTTCTCTCCATATAGAATTTACCATGATTCTTATGCAAAAATGTCACGTCTCATTATGTCTCAAAGACAAATTCTGGATCATATAAGAGATAATGTGGTATGATCTAGAATTTGTCTTTGAGACACAATGAGACGTGACATTTTTGCATAATTATCTCTTTTATATTTATTATTACATTGAAAATGAAATGACTTACTCAATATTACTTGGAGTTACAAAAATACAAATCTATTTTATCTCCAGATAATCTCCAGATCTAGGGATTATTTGAAACTTGATTATTTTAGTTGAGTGAAACCTATTTTAGTATAGCCATGTGCTGGGAAAAATAAGCCTAAAAAGACTTGGATCTATCAGTCTGGAGTTGGATCTCATTTATCTTTTTGGTCCAGTTTCCAAATTGAAACAATGATTGGCAAGAATATGGTTTTAATATATCTTTCTTACAGAGCAGTAGTGGGCAGTCATGTGTTTTATAGAATCTGACAATAGAGGACAGGTACAAAAAGATTGGGGCAAAACAAAGTCCTGACCCTAAGAATTCAATGACAGTCCTGCAAATATCTAGCATCTCTTTACAGAACATGAAATAGCTGGAACTTATTTTTTCCTTTGATGACAGGTGTCAAGGCAAAGCATTAAAGGCCCAGATTCTCTGGATCAAAAGCAATGTCTCAAAAAGTATAATTAATGTGTAGCAAATATTCCATAAACACTTGGGAATTTGGTGAGACTAGTGGTGCACATGTGCGACAGAAACTACTGCTCTCTCCGCGCCCTCGCTTCCGGTCCGCATCTGCCCTTAGCTGAGTCCTGGAAGAATGTTAATCTGCCAGAATCCGGAGAAAGTCTTGACGACTGCTACGTCTCCTCGTCCCCAAAGCCCCGCCCCTCTTGTAGCGCGCATGTGCAGAAACGGCGCCCTGCCTAAATTCTGCTCTTGGAAGAGATCGCGGTTGCAACGCGATGGCTAAGTCCTCGTGGCAACCGCCGCCGGCGCAGCCTGTCACTCACCTGATCTTTGACATGGACGGTCTCCTTCTGGGTGCGTAATTTACGCCCTCTGTTTCGCATCTGTCAGTTGGGCAGTCCAGTTCATGGGGTGGGAAGGCCGCTGATTAGGTCTGTCCTCTGGTAGGACTAGAGCCCAGTGCCGCTGTTGCTTCGCAGTTGTGTGCCGGGGCACAGTGTACTAAAGACGGCGATGTAGCCTGTGGTTTCTCCCGCCTCCTTGCTAATAACAAGATTCTGAAAACTACCAAATGTGAGCGCGCGCGCACAAACACAAATGTTCTTCTGTTGTAGAATAAGGAAAGCACAAAGCCAACAGGCAGGCTGTGATTGCTTTGTTTGTGGAGTCCTTCTCGCTCCAAATTACTAATTTATTTGCTGAATGTACAACGTGGCATGACGATAATAGTCCCCTTTCTACCATCACGTGCACGCTTCAGATCGTCATCACGTGCACAGGATACTGTATAGAAAAAACCCAAGGAAAAAGAGTTGAAGCCTTTTAAGATGGATGCGATCCTTAGAGATGAATAGGCCTTCCAGTAATTTTAACTGCCTTACTGTTTAATAAAAAGGATTGTAACTTTGTCCAGGATTGTACTGAATTTTGATTACAATTTTGATTCCTTTTAACTCAGTGTTTCTCAATCTCATCAACTTTTAAGTTTTATAGATTTCAGCTCCCAGGTGTGAGAAACGGAGAAGTTTAAAAATAAAACGGTTGCAATTGATTAACAATAGAAAGCCCTGCACATAGGCACTAGATTCCAGGAGGCTTGGCTAGAAGACACACTTAACGAGACAAAAGGATGGCAGAGGGAAGTTCGGAACCATGTAAACAAGGGGGGGAGGGATGATGTATTCTGGCTAGGCGAATTGGACAGATTGTGCCCCTGGAAGTCCTCTCAAATGGGACCTAAGGGGAGGGGATGGGGGGTCGCGATAGGAGTGTATATAATGTTATGAGTTTGAATATTTTTGTGTGGTCTCTGGGTTTAGAACGTCTTGTTGAAGTCTCTCACCAGGATCCACCGTGCTTTGCAAACCGCTTTTCTATTTTTCTGCAGAATAAACTCTTTTTTTACCAACCCAACTTTGTTGGTGTTTTAATCACGTTTCCAACACAGGATAGCTGATTGGGGAATTCTGGGAGTTGAAGTCCACACGTTAAAATTGCTGAGGTTGACAAACACTGATTTTAACTGAGTAATTATATAATCTTTTTTTAAAATGATAAAGTTGTAAAAACTGCTATTCTTGTGGAAAACGAAAGGACTCTTACGAATTCCAGAGGGTGTTAGCAGAGAGGTTTATCAGAAGCACAAAGACAGGCAATTCTGAACAAGGAGGGCGGGATTAGACTTCAGTTTTATACTTTCCTTTTCTTAGGAACAAAGGACTACACATTGTAATACACATTGTAATACATTAGGATCGTTTCTCATGGGCATACAATGGTAGGTTTTGTTACATACAAAGTATCCATGTGCAATGCGCATTTGGTTAGTCACATATTACTGACACAGAACTTTCCCAGTGATTATGCATTACGTCATTATTCTAGCAATTATGCAGACAAATCATTATTCCAGCAATTGTTCATTATTCTACCTTATTTTACCACATTACTCCCCCCTTTGGAAGTTTTCTCGCTTAAAATTCCATTATTTGTCCTCCAATTCAGGATCTTTAGAGGGTAACACTTTATATTCCCATAAAGCTAACATTGTTTCATGTTTTGCAGTTAATTGGGCTGTACTTTCTGAGATTCTTCGAATCATTGCTATAACACAAGGGAGTAAGCAGAGAATCAAAATACATCCTAGAATTAACAAGACTGCTATAACTATGATGGTTTGTAGGCCTGGTAACTTTGGCCATCATCCTGAAAGTCTTCTAAATTAAATCCATTCCAGGTTTGTACCGGAACGTGAGCTAGTTTGACCATTCTGTCTGTTATGTCTTTCAGCACTTTTCCACTTTCATCTATTTCAATGCAACAGTTTGTTAGGTTGAATTTTCCACATACTCCTCCTTCTTTGGCCAACAGATAATCCAAGGCTAACCTGTTTTGCATAATATATGTCCTGGATTTCACATTTTCTTTGGCCAATTCAGTTAGTCCTTTCACAGTCTCATTGGTAATTAACTCTACCACCGCTTGTAATCTAATGATTCTGTTGATCATGTAAATAGGGGTACGATATCCATACATTCCATCCTCAGTCCAAGTAGCTGGGCCATAAACTAGGATGATGCGGCAAGGTGGCCATTCATTTTCTTGCCAAGTGATTCCTGCACATTGGGTGTATGCACTTGGTTCCCTTTTTTGTCTTACATTGCCAATTTCATCATAGATGGGAACACCAAGAATTTGCTTTGTTTTTAATGGTAACAGGAAAAATCCAGGTCGAATTATTTCCAATACACAAGATCCACACCAATTCTTAGGTAGTTGTCCGTATGCCATTTTTCCGCAAATCCAGTACATTCCATCTGGAGCTGGAGCCAAGGAAGACTGGTATTTGTGGGGTCTCTTAGATATGGCATTCCAGATACGTTAGTAAGGGCATAGTGATCCATAGTAGTGGTTTTGTTGGTTCTAGACCACCATCNCATCTTTTCCACTCGTGTAGGTTAAACTACTATTCTCAGACATTTCTAGTACCTTGGTATAATTTAACTCTTGTGCCTCCCATGGCCATTTTTCTCCCATATTTGTTCCACCACACACAAAAGAGTTGGACACGTTTAAAGTATGAGCAATATCCTCAGCTAACTTGACAAAGGTGTTGGTTACATGTCTAGGTATTTCAGGAATATTTGGTTTCTCCATTTCTTCATAATATGACCAAAATAATGATTTTTGTTCTGATCTTTTGGTTGCAGTTATGATTTTGATTTCTACCTCTGATATTGGATCGTAGCCGTCAGCATCTATTCCTATCCCAAACATCCAATTTCGTCTTTCCCATCTATTTTGTTCCAGGAACCAACTGCCATTCTTGACTGTGAGGGTCACCAAATTACAGTTATCCCTTCCACAGGAGTCTGCTGTTGTATTATTCTTTTCAAACAAGATGTGCTCCATCTCCTTTGGGTCTTGGGTATGCCACTTAATACATGACCACCACTTACATTTGACTGTGGAGACTGCACACCCATCTGGTGGGCACAAATACTTATGGTTTGGGATATAGTTGTGGATTCGATTGATCCCTCCGCAACCATACATTACGGCCCAATAATTAGCTGCTTTACAAACATCAAAGGTAACGCTAAAACTGGAGTGTGGGTTGGATTTCCATTGAGAGATCCCTAATAGTGCCTGGTCCTTAGAGCTCGTTCTTGTTCTATGTGTTCGGATTTGTAAGGCCCAACTATCAGGATCAGGCTTTGGGTTATAACACTGATCTTGGGATCCTTTTCTACAAACTTTATATGTAGTTATATGCACAAGTGTTAGGGGAGCTATCTTGGCACCCTTCTGGTTTCATTGTATAATAAATCAAAGTCTTAGTTATCTGGCTTCCTTGTTTTGTTATCTTGATGCAGTTTTGACAATATTTATTTCCCTGTGTTTGTGTCCTTTCTTTGTGTGTACCTAATAGTTTTCTATTAGCAGGTTTCTGCAGTATGACCTCTTATGTAGCCATTGCACTGATTTGTGTAGGAACGTGTGTGTGTATTCTCCATATTAAATAACCAACAGGTATTTTGATCTGTAGAATCCTCATGTCTTCCACCGTGCGTAGAGAGACAGCTTCCGGAGTGTCTCAGGAAGGTCTGATGTTCACACCGTGTGTTGAGAACCCATTGCCGGTAGGGTTCGACAGGGTGTATTTCTTTTAAATTTCAGCACTAAAGGTTTGTCAGTTTTACTCACCTTGTAAGTTACTGGATCAGCAGGTGCAGCTGTTTTCAGTCTGGTCCACTGGATCCAGGGCTTTCCTTCCAAGGTTTTCACTGCCAATGGAGAACACATGACAACAGTATACGGTCCTTTCCATCTTGGGCTTAAGGGATCTGATTTCCAATGTTTCACCCATACTCTATCTCCTGGTTTGAACCCATGTGTCGCCGTGACCACTGGAGGGGGTTGTTGTTCCATCATATAATGACGCAAATTTGAAACAGCTAAATTATGAAGCTGTAACTGGTGTAACAATTTATGTTGGTCTATTCCCCCCTTATGGGCCACGTCTGGCCAGCCCTGACTGTCAGGTTTAAATAGACAAGGGGGACGGCCAAACATGAGCTCATAAGGACTAAGTTGCAATTTAGTGCAGGGGGCCAGTCTGATTGCATACAAAACATAGGTAAAACCTCTGGCCAGTGGAGATGAGTTTCCAAACAAAATTTAGTAATAAGGCTTTTAATTGTGCGATTAGCCCTTTCCACTTTTCCAGCTGATTGAGGGCGAAAAGAACAATGAAATCTCCACTTAATTCCTAATGCTTGGGCTAGAGCCTTGTTAATCTGATGTATGAACTCAGGACCATTATCTGATGAAAACTTAGAAGGGCAACCAAATCTAGGAATAATTTCTTTAAGAAAGATTCTGGCAACCTGTATAGCTTTCTTATTCCCAGTAGGAAAGGCTTCAATCCATTCTGAATAGGTATCAATTATAACTAGCAGGGCTACATATTTCTTACTCCTGGGCATATCAGTAAAGTCAACAATGACATAGTCCATTGGGAAATAAGCGATTGGTTGTTGACCAGGTGGTACTATTGGTCCTTGGCGAGCATTGGTTTGAGCACAAATGGAACATTGAGAACATACTTGGGCTGTTAGTGAAGAAGCAAAAGGGAGATAGAAAAATCTTTCAAGCTGCTGTAATAATGCAGTTTTTCCCAAATGATGTTGTTTATGAGCCTGAAAAATAAGTGTGCGGGCAAGTGCAAGAGGAATAGCAATGCGTCCATCGGGAAGAGTGTACCAGCCTTTAATTAGTTTGGCTTGTACATCCTGCTTTAACTTTTGGCTTTCCTCTTTAGTATATGTAGGATCAAGTTTTTCCAAGTAAGT